TGTTAAATTTATAATGTCACGTTACACCCAGTTTGAGTTATTTCTAATTATTCCTATATGTCACCACTGCTCTTACTCAATATCTCGTTAATTTAACTATAAGAACAGAGTAAAACTATTTATCTCAAGAAGATTTAATTATTCAATTTAGCTCAAATTTTATTTATTAATTGTAAATTCATACGTTAATGCAAACGCTTTTATACGAAGTAACTCAAGCTCGGTTTGATACTAAGTAATTAAAGCTCCGAAGTATAATAAACAATAGGTTGCTTCTCTATAATTTTTTTATTCGATTTTTAACATGTTGTATACAATATTAAAGTAATACATCTTGACCCATTTGAAAATAATAATAAAAGAGAATAAAATATTTGTTTTTTTTAAATATATGAAATATATAAAATTAAAAAATATAAAGTTTATATAAAATAATAAATGAAATTATTATCTATGGATATCATAACAGAAGAAACATGGAGAAAAGTTTGTTACAGTATAATAAATATTGTTTTATTTAATTTTCCTATCTATCCTATTCCCAAATATTCATTCAGGATTAAGTTTCATACAAGTTAGTGCAGAAAACCAATCTCTACATACACATATATATATAATGTGTATTGTTTTAAAAAATTCCTTCTACTTGTTTCACACTTATTTGTATACGTGTTACTGATGAAATAATAACAAAAATTTTAATGTAGCGCATATAATTTATTGATCTCGTTTTTCTATAAAAGACATTTTATGTTTATTATTAATTATTATTATTTCAATGCACTGACTTTAGCCTAATCTTTTGTAATTTGTTCATATGTAGTAACTGGATTTTATACCAGTTAAAGTAGTAACATGATGTAAGATCCAATATACATTTTACCAAGAAATAGAAGAATTTTATCTCATAATTATTTTAAAATCGCTTTCAGAGTTAATTTGTATGACTTAAAATACTTAATTTTGAAATAATAAATTATACAAAAAATCATTCTAATAGTATACAAAATACGACAGGAATGTATTTATTGATATATAGACGTGAAAGAAAATTATCCCTTTCGGATCTTACATCATTCAACTGAATTTCTCATCTCCGCATGCTTTGAGATGAGATTCAGCAACGAGTCGTTCGAATCGTTAAAAATATGTACATGGGCCTTGAATTTTATTATATATAAAATATATTTACTTATATTTTTAATTTTAAATAAACGTGAATAGAGAATAACGCGATTAACATTTATTCGTATTAATGGAATTATTATTATTATTATTAATGATAATTGTTTATATTAATATTTAGTCAATTTCATTAATATGGTAGCCCCTTCGCGACGCGTTCGTGTTTCGCGCATCGTACGAAAGCGTAAAATCTTACGCTTATTGTCGACGATGTTAATCGGCAGCAGTCGGCAGCAAAAAGGAGTATTTCTCCTTGTTGTCGATTTCTGGCATATAAAGCCAGAATATTGGCCAGGAACAACAAAAGGTGAGTTCAATCTGGCTAGAAAAAAGAAGAGTATCTGTACGAGGTAGGTTGGTATGTAATACCAACCAAATAAGTTTCTAAAAGGTATAAACTGAATATTCGGGAGGGTAACTTGCTCGCAAATTGCGAGTTCTTATATTTTTGAATTATTATTCTTATATTTTATGAATTATTTAAAATACAAAAAAAAGACAGGGCTAATGAGAGTCAGCACGGATAACCAAGCGCTAGTTTTGTAGATTTTTTTTAATCTACAAAACTTGATTATCTGCGCTGACTCTCATTAGCTCTGTTATTTATTAATGTGTTGTATTTTAAAGATTGAAAACCTATTTTAATTATTACTATTTATTACTTATTTATTATTAGTATGATCGCGATTAGGTCATCACGCTGAATTTATCAGTATGCGGTAGGACATGGTTAGGCATTGGCTGCATTCAGCAGAGAAAGCAACTTTGCAACTGTTGTAAAATTCTTCAATATGATTGGTTTATACATTTAAATCCATAAGGAACCAAAGCAAGAACCAATCGTATTAAAGAATTTTGCAACAATTGAAAAGCTACTTTCTCTAATGAATGCAGCCATTAACGTATTATATTCGCGCAATATATAACATACTATATTGCACATTTATGAAGTAGGTAATGTAGATAGGAATACATGGAGATAGGTATACCCGAATAGGCACAAATCAATGAAAATACGAGTAGATAGGACAATAATTATGGATAGGTAGGGACTGTATAGGTAGGACAATAAGTATGGACAGGTAGGAATAAACACATCATATGTACATACTTGATAATTGGAAAGGAGGGATTAAAAATTGAATAAAATTTTAAATTAATTTTAAGTTTTATTTAATTAGGGAAGATTAGATTCAAATGTAACACGGGTAAATCGTAACACTTATATAAAAAAACGTTATAAACAAAATATGCAAATGTAAGGAAGAGAGAGATAGAAGTTTTTGTAATAAACATATTATAAACTTCTATCTCTTCCTTACGCTTTTATATTTTGTTCATAACGTTTTTTATGTAAGTGTTACAGCTTACCTGTGTTACTTCTGATCCCAGTCTCCCCTATCAGCATCCCGTTCCAATTATCAAATATGAAAATTAAATAAATTAATTTCAAATTTATTGTTTTCAAATTTTATTGACTTTTCAGCCTAAAATTAAACTTTTTTTTATAAAATTCTATACACGTACAAATTATGTAACGCGTTAATATTGTAATTAATTATATTGTAAATAAATGTATGTACTTATAATAGTATTAGGTATGTAATATAAAATTTATGTACACTATGTCCAGATAAATGCCATCATATATACTTACTTTTGTAATTTGCACAACGATTATTAATAAGTTATACATTTACTGGAATATACATATATATCCGTATTGAGTATCTATTCAATACAGTTAATATTTATCTTGTCATAGTAAACCAAATTGTTGCGTAATTGATGTAAATTATACGAAATCAACGAAACATATAATAACAAAAATTGTTTATTGATTTAATAAGTTTGATAAATATTTAATTTTGAAACTTTTTTAAATTTGGATTTTATTTTGAATATCAAAAAGTCATTGCGTGCTTTGTACCGATGGAATATACTTACATACTAGTAATTATGTTTGGTAAAAACGAGCTAAAAATTTGCATAAACAAATATGACTTCGTAATTCCATTTTTATGCAAACGCGTATTATAAGACAAAATTTGCTAAATTAACTTATTTTAATATTCAATTTCATTTATTAAAATTCAACAACTTTTATTTACATAGTAGGAGATGTGAAATTAAAATTTTCGTTTAAGGACCCATCAATAAACACATTGTATTATTAAAAGATGTATTAAATAAAAATGTAACGAGTCTTATTAGAAAACCAGAATTCGGATTTTCTTGAATTATATGCGAATTTTGTGTTATGATAGGCATGCATTTTGTATACAAGATATATAAGCAAAATGCATAAACAAAAATGTAAAAATGTATAAGCAATTTATTTTATATTTTATATTGAAAAGATTTATTTCTTTGTGTGTTGCATTATGTTTTATTATATTGTATTGCCTGATTTTATTTTGTATATTATAATTCTTTCTTTATGTATTTTGATATTTTGATCAAATAAATATATTACATAAAAATATTAAATTCATATGTATAAATAATACATAAATTAACATTCAAATCCAACAAATCTCAAGTTATACGTAACGTATCTTTTAATTGTAATTTGCCATACAAGAATATAACTGTAATATAATATTTGTACTACAATTATATTATTACATGTAACTTGGTGTTTGCTGAGAAAAAGAGGACTGCCGTTAAAAATTGGCGGGGGTGGTGGAGGGCCTCTATAGATTGATTCGTTTTTATTTATTTAAATTTTCTTTATAATAACTTTAAATTAAATGTAGTTTGCTTACAAAAAATTAGAAGAATTCCAATTGTATTCATCGGCTTGCAAGTTGCAAATATATAATATTTAGAAAAAACAGAGCTGCCTTTTTAATATTATCAATAAAGATAGTATTTAAAATTTATATTTTAATGCGACCCAGTAAACGAGAATGAATTGAAATGGATTGATATTTTCAAAAATACGGATTCAGGAATGATAAAATGAATGCTTTTCAATTTTGAATGCATTTTTATTCATTTATAGGAATTGCATGAAGCAAATGTCTATGTCTTTTTAATCCTGAATGCATTTTTATTCATTTATAGGAATTGCATGAAGCATATCTCTATGCCTTTTAATCTAAAAATGATATCAGCTTTTTCTGTGCATTGTGAATACTGTTCAATTCCAAATTTTGAGTAGGAAATGCAGTTTTTCAACTCAATTGTATCCAATTGAATCTAATTGAATCCAAAAAAAAGTTTTCGCTATTTAAAATACGCATTCAGATAGACAAAATTTCAATTCATTCTCGTTTATTGGGGAAATAATTAGCGAAATAAAGTAAAAAATTAGAAATAAAAATATAAATGTAGAAAAACAAATATATAAATACTCAAGAAGGGGCCACTGTAATTTATAGTAATCCGTTTTTTTGTGAGGGTGAATATATTTATAAAGAAAAGAGTTCCGCCGATGAAATTATTCGGCAGGAGTGGTGGTGGGCCTTCAGAATCTAATGGCGTTTTTCATTGGCAGAATTGATGCGCACTCGGTGCACATTAAAGCCGTTGTATATAAATCCATGATATAGAAACGAATTAAACTGCGAAATTCTCAATACATTTTATTGTGCTATTTGATAAAATACACAATAGGTAAGCAATAGGTAAGCATTTTTTGAATGCGATTACTCATTTTGGTCTCTCGAGCTGCCATTTCAAAATTACCGCGGCGCAAATGTTTAAATGGCCTCATTTGGAATCTGCGCAGAATCGTACAAAATTCGTCTCGAGAACGAACACACTTGACACACTTCCTTCTTTCTTTTCTTCCACCATGGTTTATAATTCTAGATATGGTGGATACCTTCTTATCATGCAAGTACGACACGAGGTAAAAAGATCGAAACGATGGCGTATAATTTAAAGAATGAGGAGGAAGTGAAAGAGTACTTGAAGAACCTTCACATAGAATATCAATTCGGTTGTTACAGCGAGAAAAAACCGGAGGGTGAGTGAAGTCTAACCTAGAGTCTAACCTCACAATTAAGAAAAATAATCTTTTGCTCCGAAAACAGTATGCCATTTGTTGGGCGATTTTTACGAAGCGATAAAGTTGGATGCGGAGAAAGCTGCTTCTTTATATAAGACGACCTGCGATCAATATAATTATGGTAGAAGCTGCGCGAAATTCGGCGATTTTAATGTAATCGGTGAGTTTACCGAGAGGAGCACGAGGTGCTCTAGCAGACACTATGTTAGTTATAAACACCTGTGATAGATGTCGGGAGCATTTATTATGGCGCAGACTTCGAATCTTTCGAAGACGAATTCTGTCCATTTCTATCAAAGTAGATTAACTTTAATTTCAATTTAATAATTTATAATTTTCTATCTTTTTCTAGTTTTGAAAATTGAAAAAAGATGAAGAGTAAGTTGAATATCTATTATAGATTAAAGTTAATCTACCGTAAAAAATGGAATTTAAATTTCAAAGAGTATTGATTTTATATTTAGATATTTAGATCTGGTTCCACCAATATAAGATTAACTTTATTCTTGGTTCAATTTACTCTTTATCTTTTTCTAATTCTAAAACTTCTAAGAATTAATAGTAAGGTAAACTGAGGTTGAAGTTAATCTTACGTTGATGCAACCAAGCCTTATATTCATTTTTATCAATTAAAGTAGATTCACTTTAATCTGTTTAATTTATTCTTTATTTTTTTCATAATTCTGAGAACTTAGAAGAAAATAAGAAGTAAGTTAAATAATATAAGAAGTTAATCTACATTAGCAGAAATGGACATTAATTTATAAGCTTCCATCTAGTTAATGAAGAGATCATATAGTTTGAGATCATAGATTGAAAATAATTTTAAGTATAAAATTGGATTTCAAATATCGCTCCAAACCTAATTATTCTAGAATTAACGCTTTCCTTTTTATACAGGAAAAGGTTGCAAGAAGGACATACTGACAGCATACAAGTATCTATCAAAAAGCTGCGAGCTTAACGACGAATATGGGTGTCTACATGCTGGTATCTTGGGAACGTCCAAATCCGACGTCGGAGAAAAGGACAGAGCCACCCAGATTCATGCAGGTGCCAAGTATCTAAAGAAGGCCTGCGACATGTACAACTCGGAGAAGGCCTGTTTCTATCTATCGGGTATCTATCTAGGAGGTTTAGAAGGCTTCATCGAGAAAAACTACAAAGAAGCATACAAGCTATCGTTGAAGAGCTGCGAGCTCGGCAATCCTTACGCTTGTGCGAATCTGTCGCAGATGCACGCGCGCGGAGAAGGCGCGCAGAAGAATCCTGAGCTTGCTGCAACCTTCAAGAAACGCGCCACCGATTTGTACGAGGAATTGATACGAACACAGCAGGAATTAAAATTCCATGAGGGCATAGACCCATAACGTTTAGCTCCACGATATACATTACATCGATAGATTCATTCGTTTTTTTTTTTAGTTTATACAATTCTGTGAAACGAAAAATTAGGTATTTTTGACAATGAAAACATTTCGCATTACGCGTTTAACTGCACGTTTAGCACGCTGCCTTACGTGTTTGAATCATCATGACTTGCATAAATTGTTTATAATTGTTTAATATAGTTTGTTAAATATACAGGGTG